GGGGGGGGGGGTCTGCTGTGTGCACACCCAGTGCAAGGACTGGCATGGCTCACATGGGTACACCCCTCTCTGCCGCAGCTCAAGTGTCCCCCGTCTGCGTGGAAGTTGGACAGCCCTGACCCAGGGAGCTGGTGGCAGCCTTCCCCACCGCTGCACCCCAGCCGTAGCAGAGCAACGATTCCTGCACCAGCAGCAGGGTGGCACTCCATGCACGGTGCACAACGATGGCCACCGCAGCCTGGGTCCTGCAGGCATCGGGCAGCCAGACACGCTTTCTCCCAGACTGTGCAGCGCTCGGTCTTGGTGCAGCGCTCTCCCCACCCCACGCTGCAGTACCACGGTCAGAGGCCTGAGCAGGGACCCTTCTGTCCAAACGTGATCAAGGGGCGACTTCAGCCGCACGGGGTTTGTCCTCTCATCCGCTCACCTAATCCTAAGGGAAAGATCCTACCTTGATCCCAGGGATCCCTTGTTGGTGCAGGGGGTGGGATCCTGGTGGCACTAGTGCAGAAGAGACCCCGCTGCCACGCTGAAATCTGTAGGGGCCTGTGATGGGCAGTGCTCTCACTCGGTTCATCACCTCCCAGCTCCCACCGAAGCACAGGGTGAGCACCTTAGTGCTGTCTTCCCTTCTGTACACAGATTAATGCTCATTAAAGGACCAGAGAACTTGAGCTTGAGAAGTCCTTGCAGGAGAAAGCACTTGCACAGCTCTGAGCCCTTGAGCTAGAGGAGAGAGCGGCAGACACATGGACTGGCAGCCTGGAGGCCCGGGACGCACATCAGCAAATATCTCTAGGAAAAGAGACCTGCTCAAATGAACGAGGAAAGGCTGCAGGGGCTGTGCTTGGCAGCAGGATCGTGAAGTAGGGCAGCACTAGAGAGCTCGCCTGCTCAGCCCACCTGCCAGACTCCCCCTTGCACTTCTCAGGCCTTCTGCTTTCCAACAGCAATGTTGCAGTCAAGGGTAAAAAACCTGCTTTGGGAGCTGTCAGACACCTCAAAGAGGAAGGTGCCACCAAGCCATCAGGAAATGCCAGTGTGGGTCTGCCCTCTGCTCCACACCATGCCCTGCATTGGTCTTGGGAGCCAGAGAGACTGCGCGGTGGAGACGGGGGGCCAGGCAAGGCAAGATCCAGACAGGTAAATGGTCTTATTGGCTGGAGACCCCATGGCAAGGAATCGGATGAAAGACAGTCCCCTGTAGCCCAGTGACCTTGGTGGAAACCAGCAAGGAGGCTAGGCTGGGCTGCCAGCTCACGTCTGTGGCAGGAGCTGAATTTGCAGGCTCTCAGCTGCACTGCGGAGAGGCCTTGGCCCAGCAGCAAGGATCAGGGAGGCTGTGGTTGAGAGCTAATGACACTAGTAGGAAGACAGGGCATTTCTCTGCATGCAGGTGCCTCTCGGGTTTGTCCGCCTTTCCCAAAGGGTCCTGTGGGTCGTGTGCCCAGAGCCGTGGTTCCCACTGACACCCCACAGCAGGGAGCCAGCGACATCGTCTGCCAGCGAGCGTGGGGACAGGGCACATCCCTGGCACCGCTACACTCCCCAGCGACGCTATTTTGTGTGTATTTTCCAGCTTCCAATTACAATTAATTTCACAGGGGCTTTGGGAGGAAAACGACAGAAAGCAGATGTTGTGTTAATTTGTGCTCAATTAATTGAGATGAGGGCTTTAACACCATCACCACCGCCATCACACAGACGGGCACAGGGAGATGCAGAGTGGTATGGCCAGGAGAGTCGGGTGTTGTGCTGAGCCGTGTGCCAGACACCCCCGTGCTGCTGGATGACGTGGCAGTGCTGTAGTGCTGTGTGCTGCAGTGGCCCATGTAGCGTGGTACTCCACACAGCCAGCGCGGTGCATTGTTTTATTGCACTGGGCCACCCTGGCGGCCCCATGTCGCTTAGTGCACACTTGTGCACATCACGAGGCTGTGGGCTGCTCGAGAGAGACATGCTTTCACAAGCCCCATCGCTGAGTGGCACCCAGGTAGGAGCCCCGAGGCCACATCATAGATGCTAGGGTCGGGAGGGACCTCAACAGATCATCGAGTCCGACCCCCCGTCGGACCTCTCTGGTCTCAGAAGCCGTTTGATTCCTGTTCTACCCAGACTTTAAAACCAGCTGCCTAGGAGGGGCTGCGGCATTTCTATTCAGGCAGGGCTGAGGGAGCCGATTGATCTCAGGGGTCCTTGTCATTTCCCTGATTCCTGCTAATCTCTCTCCACTCCACAGGCGTTAACGGCCCTCTCTCCTTCTTAATGGTCACGATGTTCCGATCTTCAAACTATCCTTTCTTCTGCAGTTTTGCTGTCTGTCTGTTAGCCATTCTGGGTAATGTCTCTCTTTTATTTCACAGCCCTGCAGACTGTTTTTAGCTCTAGCTAAAAACCGTAACTCAGCTGCGGTCCTATGAATTCAGGGGTAGAAATGACTGACAGTGCAGTATTGGAGGCACCAGCAAAAAGGCTAGATTCTGTTTTATGGATCTGAATAAAAGATGTACATTTAACTATAATGACTATGGGACTAATGACACAATATCTTCTGACTGCTTTGGCTCATTTTTGCCTAGTTTATTGTGGGCTTTTTAAAATTTAACTTACAGTCTAACAAACGAATGCATAGTCCAATAGTTATCTTTTGTTTTTGCTTTATCTTAAACTGAATAATGTAGTTCTAGCCTCCCAGCATACTAGCAAACCACCTAGTTTCTTTTAAATGGAGAAAAACATTCATTGTGTTATACGTGATGATGCAGCACACCATCTGCACCCCTCTTTTCAGAGCCCTACATCCTCCCCTGTCTCCTGAGTTTGATCCACACAGTCAAAATATTTGCGGGGACTGCGACTATAGTACCAGGTGCTCTGATCCTTGGAGTCATTCCTAGCCCTGGCGCAGGGAGGAGGGGTCACCGCAGCAGCCCTCTTGTGAACGTGGGTTGGGCTCCTTTTTGCCGTGGATCTGCATTTCTCACCTGCTCAAGCGTACGCTGGAGCAAAGTCTCCGGCTCTACCTTTGTGTGCAATGCGAATCAGGCCTGCACGCGCGCTCGGCTGTTGTCAGGTTTGTGTCTGTAATGAACCGTGGGTCATCCCCAGAATGTGAAACAAGGCTTGTGTCAAGTTCGAGCAGAGCTAGAGGTTTATTGTAACGTACTTGAAATGCTGCCTAAAAGATTTGTTTTCCTGCTCTGCTTCCTTCACCGCAGCCGTGATTGGCAGTGGCAGGGCAGCGTCGGCAGCTAATGCTCCGAGTCCCAGTACAAAGCAAGGGCACGCACCAGCAAGAATAACCAATGGCCTGACTCACTCATGCACGTCCACCCCTGGTGTGGGCACTTCTGCCCAATGCCACAGGTTCATTGCCAAGTCCAGGTCTCTGATATCAGGCAAGGAGTGAGCGTGGGCCATTGTCCGGGTGGAGAGAGTGTCCTGGGCTGGGGCTAAGCTGTTTCAAAGTGCAGGATGGGAGTTGGTGTTTGGGCCCCTTTGCTTGTTGACTGGCCCCTGCGCTGCTCCTCTGCGGTTCCCCATTGGGGTGGTCTCAGTGCACTGGGACCACCTCGGGGCTGGGGAGGGAGACAAGTGGATCGGGAAACGAGATGAGAGCAGGGGCGAAAGCAAAAGAACATGGGTGGGCTGGGTGGCAGAGGAGAGGGGCAGCCCCTTGCACTGGGTATCTACAGGTCCGAGCACACCTGTCTCTCTGAGGGAACCTGGGTAGGTTTACTGCAGGTTTCTTGGACCTCAGGTCTGCAGGTGGTGCCAGGGCCTGGGCCCTCCTGTAGTGGCTCTGGCTGCTTTTTGGCCTCCCCTTTCCCCATTGCCAAGGGAGCAAACCATAACGTGCTCCTTTAGCTGGATGGGATGGAAAGCAACTGTGGTCCTAGTCGTTGGCTCCCAATCCCTGCAGGCGTGTAGGTGCTGGATGGGAGAGGATGAATCTGGCTCACGGGTGCAGTAATGCACGTTCCTCATTTTGTGGAGCAATGGGGCAGGAACAGACACCTTGTGCTGGGGGTGCTTTGTTCACTGTTTGCTCTCTGGCCCTCTGCCATCACCATTTTCTCACCCAGGGCCCAGCCACACATTCAGATTAAAGCCAGATAGAAACCAGCTATAAAGCTGTAACCCATTTTCAAGCACTAACTTTGTAGTTGGTTGGGGGCGGGGTTTATAGCTGGACCATCCTTTTTATGGTGCAATCATTACTTTGCCTGTGTGACAGGTCTAAATGTATTGTGTGATTATAACCAGTCCATTGTGTGATAATTACTTTGCACATGTGGCCGGTTTTATTTTGCACATGTGGCTGGTCTAACTTTACTGCATGATTAACTGATTAATTGCATGATAGATGTAATGTGTAGCAAGGGCCTCTGCACCTCCCCAGTCATGCCTGCCATTCTGCTGAAGTGAACACTGCTTGAAAAGGCAAAAATGAGCATCAGACATACAGGAACCAGGGCAGCTTGGCATTTAGAAATCCCAGTGTTTTTTATTTCAGTGGCTCTTCCACTCCTAAAGCCCATTGGCACTTCGGAGAGTCCCCACGCAACGCTCAGCGGTGCACAGGCACATTAGCCTGCAGTTGTTTTAGTGGGAGGGTGTTGGTGCTAACCTCTCTTCCCCATGCACATCCTTTGACAGAAGCATCCCAGCCCTGAGGGGAAGCTGGGCACGTTCACACTAACCCTTGCCCCGTGCCCTGCAAGAGTCTATCGACGAGTGCAAGGTGACGATGTTAATACTAACCTCTTCCCTCTCTGTCCCACAGTGGGATTCTATCAATGAAATGGATGAATTTTTCAGCCCCATCCACACCTATCAGGTCTGTAATGTCATGACCCCGAACCAGAACAACTGGCTGCGGACCAGTTGGGTCCAACGGGACGGTGCCCGACGGGTTTATGCTGAAATTAAGTTTACCCTGCGGGACTGTAACAGTATGCCAGGGGTGCTGGGCACCTGTAAAGAGACCTTCAACCTCTATTACCTGGAGTCTGACCGGGACCTGGGCAGTAGCACCCGCGAGAGCCAGTTTGTGAAGATCGATACCATCGCAGCCGATGAGAGCTTCACCAATGTGGACCTGGGGGTCAGGAAGCTCAAGCTAAACACTGAGGTGCGGGGTGTGGGGCCCCTGAGCAAGCGGGGCTTTTACTTGGCTTTCCAGGATATAGGCGCCTGCATCGCCATCGTGTCCGTCAGGGTGTACTACAAGAAGTGCCCGGCCATGGTGAGGAACCTGGCATCCTTTTCCGAGGCGGTGACTGGAGCGGACTCCTCCTCCCTGGTGGAGGTGCGGGGCGAGTGCGTGGGGCACTCGGAGGAGAGAGACACCCCCAAGATGTACTGCAGTGCAGAGGGGGAATGGCTGGTGCCTATTGGGAAGTGTGTGTGCAGTGCTGGCTTCGAAGAGCAGAGGGATTCCTGCAAGGGTAAGTCTCTCTCTGCCTCCTAACTATGCTTTAACAGGGAGGGTTGGGCTCTGGTGCGTTACTGCCTTGCAAAACGGCGGCCGAGGGGTGGCAGGGGTGCAGAGGTGGCCACAGTGGGAGAGGAGCTTCCTCTGCAGCAGCGGTGCCCAGAAATGTTGTGAAAACATCCTGGACTGGGAGTTTGTGCTGGTGCATCCTTTGCAGCCCAGACATGGCATCCTTGGCTGGAAGCTGAATAAACCGCAGGGAACCTCACTCCTCTGTTCCCCTTTTGTGAACAGAAAGCAGGCTAGTGGCGTAACGGCCAGGGGCCAGATTCTACATCACGTCAGGCACCTGAAGGGCATGTGCACACCTACGGACCTGCAGGTTTTGGCACGTATGCACAGTCTGGGATGCTGTTTTGCCCCATAGAAGCGTAGGATTGCTGTGGGAGCGGGAGGGGGAGGATAGCCTAGTGGGTAGAGAACAGGAGACCTCGGGTCTAGACCAGGAGTGGCCACAAATGGCACAGGCAGCTGCTGGGAGAGGTGTCCCTGCCAAGATCCAAAGGAACTCTTCAGGTGCCACCAGATTCAGGGCTTGGGATCCTCTGGGCTGCGGAAGCTCAGTCGTGTCAGGGTCAATGTCAATTGCCATCACCTGCGGGCGCAGGGGAAGTGCTTGGGGGGTGCAGGTGGCTGGTTGTGACCTGGACTCCCAGGCAGGGGAGATGGGGCCATTGCTGGCAGGGCCTCCCTTCTGGAGGGGACGTCATCGCATAGGCTTAAGTCTGCGGCTTTCCAGCCCCTACTCGGAAAAGCATCTCTTGACATTGACTCCCAGCCAGGTACCGCCCTGTCTCCAAACTCCTCTGCCTGGGGAAGTCATTGCAGGGCGGTTGCCCAACACCTTCCAATGCATCTGGATGCTTCAGGGGTCCTGGACTGCTGTTGGTCTGACTTGCTTTCTGGGTATAGTACAGAGACTGCACTGTTGACCTTGATCGATCTCCTGGAGATGGATGAAAGTACATTTGGGAAGCGTGCATGGGCAGATCTGAATTGCACATGGGCCCCAAGCTGCAGTTCTCCAGCTATGCGCATGCCATAAAGCAAATAAGATTAGGCTCCTGGGGTCTGTGAGCTTGTCCCGAAGATCCCTTCCAGTATTATTTGTAACCCAGGTGAAGAAACCTGTCCGTTCAGTAGCATACAAGCACTTGGCCCCCTGTCTCTCTCAAAAAAACAGAGCCCTCCCTGTCACGTGCCTGGGCTCTCCGAGGTGCTGTGTGACTCACTCCTCTCCGGCAGAGACGGATGCAAAGGAAACAAAAGCGAGACTCTGAGATTTACAAAACAAGGTTATCACCTTGGTCCGTCACCCCCTTGGGCTGCTGCTTCAGCCCCCCATTCTGGCAGGTGCAGGCGGAGGACACTTCCCGGAGAGCCCCCGCGCACGGGGAAGGGGGTCAGGCTGCCAACTGTACAAACTGCGATAAGGAAGGCGGGTGGCCAGCAGCAGCTGTGTAACGGACTGTGTGCTGGCAGGGGGACGTCTGTGTACAGAGCGCGGTGCTTCGGGCTCCCCGGGAGACCCCTCCGCACAGATTTGTTTGCTCTCGGTTCCTTCGTGAAAGGTGTTTAGAGGAACTGCGTTCTGACTGCAAACAGGAGCGCCGGGCTTTGTTTGAAGGGAGTGGGGAGGCAAGTGGAGCATGTCTTCGCAAGGTTTCGACACAAGGTTAGAACATCCAAAGTCAGGCAGGGAAGGATCCAGGCACCGCTGGGACCAGTCTCTGCCCCAGGGCATCCAGGATTACACTGAGTTGGGAAGGTGGGCAATATAAGAGCTCGTGTCTTAGACCCCCCCCTCCTGTAATGATGTCCCGGGACGTGTGCGGTCATTTGTTCTCAGCCTTATTCATGGGAGTGGGAAAGAGTTACTGCCTTTAGAGAAGAGCTCCCGATTCCACAGAGGGACTGGAGCCAAATCTGGTGTGGAAAAAGCTGCATCAGTCAGAAGGTCACTTTTGTCTCTGTTGTTCTCAGAATAGCTGTGGTCCAAACTGAAAGCAGGCAGTGTAGCTCCAGCGTCAGGTCCGTACCTGGGCACATGGTCCTTGAAGCAAGGCCCAGCCTGCAGGGACCAGCAGAGAATCCCAAACTCGGCAGAGGTAGGAGAGTCTGTCCCCACTCCCTACATCTGCACAGCCCCAGGGGTCCTTATGGCTGTCCAGGAACGCACATCTGGTCAGAGTGCTTTACTCCCCACCTTGCTGGGGTCGTTTGACCCCAGTACTCTTTCCTGCCATGGCAGGGGGTCAGACTAGATGATCTGCTCAGGTCCCTTCCGACCCTAGAAACTATGAAACTATGAAACTCCAGACCTCAGCAGCTGTACAAGGAGCACTTGGTCCACAGCAACAATCGCTCATCTGCTGAAGGGGATGTCGTGGTCGTTTCCCTGTCCAGCCCTCGCAGCCTTCCTTCTCCTGGACTCTTTCCCCAACCTCTGACTTGGGATCTCTCTCCACCACAGAAACTTCAGTGTTCTCCCACTAGCCCCAGAAACTCTGTAATTAGGTTAGACGTGGTCGTGCGTCAATGCAAACCGTGTAGTCGTAGGAGGCCTGAGCTGCTCAGCGGCTCCTACTGCATTATAATGACGTGTTAGTCTGGTTGTCTTGTAAGAAATGATAACCCCAGGCAAAACCTCTGCATGTAGCTCCCAGAAAGGAAACCCTGCCATCACTTCATTTATTGCCCTCTGGATGAACACCGAAGTTAATATTTAGCTGGTGAGACAGAGACAGTTTATGACAAAGATGTAGAAGTGCAGAACATAGCTCCAAAGGCTATTTGAGTCTGAAATATTATGGCGCACCCTGACGACCTCCCAAATAGAGGGATCAAAGTCCAGCTTTTAAGTTCCACCCTCTTGTTCGCCCCTCTCATCATGAAAGAGCGTTGGGGAAGTTAATATTGCAGTGCATCGGGAATATGGGCAGTACGTTCGTCGATCAGTTGGTCGTTCAACCCAGTACCAGCATCTGCTTCGGCGGGTGGGTGTGTAGCCAGAGTATATATTTACACACAAAAGCAAACAGATACAAATCTCTGGACCTAAGCTTCTTGTGGTTGATCGGTACTGAATTCATTTTTCATCGTGAAAAGTGCCTTTCTGGAAAGATTTATAACCCGAGTGGATCTGTCGGAATTGGAAATTAGCCGTTTTAATTGTCAGGCGGACAAGAGCAAGACTCCAGTGGCTGTTGCCCCAGCAATTTTTCATTCTCCGTCACTGGGATGAGACGATATAAATCACTCCTTGTGGCCCTAATAATCTTTCTATAAATATCAAGGAAATTCATTTTTGGTTGGGGAAAAAAATTAAAGAGGAGATACTTTGCCTTTATGGCAGTGTTTAAAATGTGATTCCAAATTAATTTCCTTTTGCCTTCACAGCCAGACGCCTTATTTATCAAAGCTAAAGATGTTTGAATAGTGGAGGGTGTTTTCTCCCCATTTTTAATGTTCATTTTTCTAAGTACCTGACAAAGTGATGGAAGACAGTTTAGGAAAACGGGTCATGGCCAAAGCCTGTAGGAGCCTTTCAGCACTGGGGGGTGGGAAGGGCTCGGCAGTGGCGTCTGGGACCCGAGGGGCCCAGGACCAGGTGTAGTGTGCTGGGACCTAGGGACACTTGCCCTCCAAGTCTCACTGACATACAGCACAGGTTGCTGCTGTAGGTGCTGCCTTGCTGCTGAAAGCCATTTTGCCCACCCGTTGATTGGCTTGTGCTATTACATTCCCTTGCCTCTCCAGGCAATAGGAGTTTGTCATGGACTTTAGTGGGAACTTTGCCACGGACATCAGTGAAGGTCTGAGTTTGAAGACCACATCTCTGCTTTTGCATGGTGGTTGGTGCCTGCCCTGTCCAGTGCTCTGGGAAGCAGCTCATGTGGTGTCTCACTGATGACAAAGTCAGTTTTGAGACCTCTCCCCCATTGCCTCTTAGGAGTCCCCTGCCCAAACCAGCCTACC